CCCAACAATATTACACCCATGGATATAATTCCAGTAGGTTGGGAAGCTAATTTGCATCCATGGAATGCTAATGACTGCGAAAGGGATTCCTGACCATCAAGGTTGGAAAGCCCGAGCTACCTGATTCAGTGTCAGGAATCTGAAATTTAGCCTCCCATCCAATTCTCCCAGGCCCTGCCTCCCTAAATTCTCCAGCTAGGCCTGAAAGATTCTGTCCAAAGTAACCTCTCCTGATGGGGGTGTACTGGATTTGAACTGAGATGGTTGTTCGAACATTCTTCAATAATCTCAGGATTCACAAAAATAAGATTAAGATAGTTCACATTAAAAAGTTGACTAGTTTCTAATATTGAATATTTGATCTGTATAATTCCTCATTCCGCAATTGTAATGAAATTAAGCCACTTTAATTTATGCTGAACATCAATACGGTACTTTCATGGACATCAAAGTCAACTTCGCTTTTTTTTCCATCTTATTATAGATGTCTGATGCTTGCATTATCTTTGCTACTTCCACTGTAACCTTTTAAAGGAAAACAATATCCTGTCCATGATTAGATTGACCAGAAACTGATGAAATCTTCCAGATGGTGTCTGACTAATGCCTTATGAGCAATAGAATAACCTCTCCTGATTCCTGTGCTATACCATCCTGCATCAAAGCAGCACCTCATTTGCAATTATCATTCCATGTCAAAGACATAAAGCTTACAGCCCATGTTCACATGCAACATTGTAATTGAGTAATTGAACAACATGCTCACAAGCATGATTAGTAGTTCTTTTTCAAGCGACATTGCTGATATAAAATCAATAATATTTTTAAATTGACTGTTATCAAGTAACCTTTTCTGTCTTGATTATGCTCTAAGTTGCATTGAAATATGTCGTGTATTGCAAGTTCTGTTTCCAAGTAACATTAATGTGCCCAGAACAGGGATTAAGTTAAATCTACACTTTATATTTATGAGTCGTCTGATGGATTCAAGGAAGGGAGGTGATATTTGACAATGCTATAATCGTTTCTTCAAGGTATTACCAGTGGATAATGCAATTTTGAAGTTAAGTTTTTAAATTAAAAATTGGGAAATTTCTATGGATGGAATCTAACACATCCGTACCACCACCCCCACCACTCCACCCGCCTCTGCCCGTCCAGGGAGTGGGCAGGTAAATTGGACAATCTGTATCATCAGGCAGGAAAACATGGGGTGGTGAGCCCCATTTGCCTTCTCAATGACCCCATTTCCCCATTCATTCAGGGGTGAGAAAACTTCAGGTTGACCTTCCTATCCCAAGGTCAATAGGGGTTTTGAAGTGGACAAGTAAATATTGCTTTAAGGGCATCTATTTGCCTCCTGTTCCAGTAAGGACCACCTCTGTTGTGAAGAATGCCTCATATCACCTTACACAATGACCGTCTCCTTCCTTCCAGCCAGAGTGTGCCTGATGGACCCAGTCAGACCCATTTGCCACTTTCTAGGGGCTTCTGTGATGGTGTTTCATCTCATTCCACCTGCAGTACCAGCATAGACCACTGCCCCCTGTGGAGGTGCTGAGCTGGATGAACTGTCAGTTGACAGCTCTTGAAGGTGAGATCTTTGTCATGAAGACCCCAAGAATTCAGATGACAAACAAATAAATGATATATTGCAATACAATCCCATCTGGACTCCCAGAAATGACCAGGCAGGGTTGCTATTGGGCCTCTGGCTAGCAAAACAGTGCCACTACCAAAGTCATTAAATTCAACCCTATGTGTACATTGATTAGCCGAGGTAAAGCAACATGAATTAGCTGTAAATAAATAATTAACAGAAAGGCTGCGTCTAAAGAAAGCTCCTCAATGGGAATTTTTGAAGGTGCATATTATCAATGAGAACCTTGAGGGGGAAGTCTTTTGATACTTTAAGAAAAAAAATGACAAAGGTATCATAAGGAAAACCTTCATAGATGTGGCTGAAATTAAAATACAAGAAACTACAAATAATGGAAACCAGTGCACCTAAATTCTGAAAGGTCTGTTTCTTTTGTGCGACTAATCAGTAGATGGCTATTGCTATACAATTTTCTTAAGTCTAACATTATATGGAAACAAGAAGCAGGAAGTGAGCAAGTAATTGTTTAAAGGAAACAGAAATACAATGTGCTGACTGCAAGTCTTATACATGGTCCTGTTGATGAATTTAGAAACTTCAAGTCCTCAAATGTCGGCAAAAATCAAAAGAACTAGGCAAAAAGGCATGAGCAGAGGGATAAAGTGCTCATGAGTAGTGGTTATAAATGTTACTGCATTAAGCATTAGTCAGGCCCATCTGGAGGACTGTGTGCAGTTTTGGTCATCTAATCACAGGAAGGGTATTATTGCCCTTCCAACGGTACAAGGGAAATAAAGATGACTCCAGCTAGCTGGAATCTAGTTTTTGAAGAAAGGCTAATTAAATTGAATTTGTTCTCATTAGAAAAGAATAGATTTTGCAGTGACTTAATTCAAGTTTTCAGAATTCCACAAAGCTAACCCAAGTGAACTGTTCAGTAAGCTGAAATGTTTAAATATGGAACACAAGTTAAAAATTAGGAAGAAAGCAGTAAATAATTACCAAGCAATGCTATTGAAGTGATTGGTATAAATAGATGACAAACTTAATGAGGCGTGTTTCCAGAAGAAAAAGGCATTTAAAAAGTACTAACTTATTTGTATCTCAGATGAGTCCTGGTCTGTTTGAAAAGGCAAGTTATTATTGTCATAGAGGGAATGCAGTGAAGGTTCATCAGGTTTGTCCCCAGGATGATGGGACTATCCTTTGAAGCAGGATTGGGCAAACTGGGCCAATTTCAAAGAATGAGTGGTGAACTCATTGAACCCTATGAAATACTTAAAGGGATAGTTAGGGTAGAGGCAGGTAAGCGATTTCCCCTGGTTGGGGAGTCTAGAACAAATTAACAATAAGGGGGATGCAATTTAGGATTGAGATTAGAAGGTTTTTTTTAAATTCAGAGAGTTGTGAACCTTTGAAATTCTGTAACCCAGAGGGCTGTGGATGCTTAGTCTTTATATTTCGAGATTAATGGGTTTCTGGTTACCAATGGTGAAATGGGTTTTGGGGACAATGTGGGAGGAGGCAATGGAGAACTTTTGCAATTGTCTTTCCTGCGGCAGACAGCACATCAGAGATAGCATGTATTTGAATAATGTCCCATTATTCTGTTAATTATTATGGAATTGTAAATGCCAGTATGGGTTTGCGCTCTCATTTTACTTCTGGATTTTGTATGATGGTGAAATGTGTGAAACCTTCTACTGTGTCCAATTGAACTGTAAAATCTAACCAATGTAATTGGAGATTTTGACCTTTCATGCTTTTTTATCTGGAGAAATTATTTTTAGTTGGACAATACAAGAGTGAATTACTGCTGGTAACAGCTGTTTTACTGGTGCTACTAGGGATGGGAACAATTTGGATGGATGAATGAAGAGAATTGGCACAGCATTAAAGCATAGTTATGTAAATGTGACCTTTGTCCTTTGCGGAGTTTTGGTGTTAATGTACTAAATTGCCTGGTGGCAAAATTGATTATGGATCTGCAACATAAGATTTAGTGATCTCACTCAGGGAGCATGTGGGGTGTATGGCATGACAGTGAAAAACCACAATAATGCAATATGAGTGGGGAGGGAAAGTGTCTTTAATGGAGTTCATGATGCAGTATGTTGTGTACAGAATGAACTGAAGGAAATTCTCCACTTTATTTGTGCTATCTGACATGGAAACATGCAATACTGTAACTCTATCCTAAACCATGAAATAACATTCAAATCTTCCACAGTGATGCTCTTCATGGTGAAGATGCTACAGGGAAAAAGAAAACAGCTTGTTACAAGCAGGTGGGGAGGAGAAATCAGTTCCCTTCTTTTTAACAAAAACAAAGTTGCTGGAAAAGCTCAGCAGGCCTGGCAGTGCCTGTGAAGGAAAAAACAGAGTTAACATTTTGGGTTGGGTGATCCTTCCTCAGAACTTCTTTCTAACCTCCTCCCAGTTGGTTGTGATAAATATTTTTATTTCTTTGAGCTCACATCAATTAAAGATGTAGTTAACCAGATCAAAGTGACAGAGCTAATTACCAAGATTTTCTTTATTGAGAGGCAGAAGAATTTTAACTCTGAGAAAGCAAAAGTAATAAATATGACATCAAACACACACACAAACTCATGATAATTTTAATGAAATGAGTATATCTGGTACAATTAGGGAGGCTAAAGGTTGCACAGTTTAAAAGCCCTTAGTTTTTTAGCTGTTAAGATTTTTTACCAGAGACCACAATTGTTTAATTGTCAACTGGTATTCTCAGCATTCAGAAGGATGTAAATAACTTTGAATAAACCATGAATAATTGTCTCCCCATTGGCTTTTTCTTACTGGGTGCTGTCTTCAGAAATGATAAGAAAAAACACTGAAAGAGAGAGTTTCTCAGTTCTTGCTGTGATAAATCCATGTTCTCTGGTTTTGTGCTGTTGCTGAAAAGCAGCCATTGAAAAACAGATCAGCGTGTTTTCTTGAACTTGGCCCCCTTGTCTTTCCAATCCAGGTAACAAGCAGGCCAGTCTTTCATCTCCCAATAGGTGAAATTGACATAAAAGTGTGAATTAAGACAAGTGAAATTTTGATGCTGAATCAATCGGCAAAAATGCTAATGTCAGTAAGAATAATTTTGTTTATTCTGAATGTGTCTCATGAAGCTTGCTTCACTTTGTAGTCAAGTGACCATTGCAGCCATTTTAGCTCCATGTTTCTTCATTTTTAAGAACTATTTTTGTCCATGAATAGTCTCAGTTATACGAAGAGATGAATGGAAGTTAAGGTTCAAGAGTCCACGTTTAACATATTGTAATATCCTTCACAGAATTCTCCATCACACATTGATTCTGTATGAATGAAGCTCTTTATTTAATCTGATAATTTGATGCTTTTTATTGTGTGTTCGTGTTTTGTTTTACAGTAAGCACGGAGGTAACCCCAGTTTGTCCAAAAGGGTGTGAGGTATGCTCGGAGTACAATGGATGTCTAAAGTGTTTGCCTAAATTGTTCATCCTTCTGGAAAGGAACGACATTCGGCAGACAGGCATTTGTTTGCCATCATGCCCAGTTGGATACTTCGGTGTTCGGACGCCAGAGATGAACAAGTGCAACAGTAAGTGGAAATACCATACCCAATGCATTACGTTTGTAATCTGCCATCTGATGTACTTATATTCTGTTTAACCAACAATGGAGAGTGTATTTGTTCCTTGTCTTCTACGCTAATATTTTCCAAATGAGGAAACATTTGGTACAGTTTCATCCTTGCCCATTAATGTCTCATCCCTAGTTTGGCAGGCCAATACTTATGTGTGAACATTGATACTGAGTGTCAACAAGCTTTATTTAGAATGGATGATGTTATTCCTGCAGGCATTGATAAATAATGACAAAATGAAGAAAATGGAGGAACTCTGGCCCTGTTTTATCCCCCTAATCCATCACGACTAATATCATTTTAATTTCTTAAAAACCATCCTGGTTGACATTCAAAGAAAGTCAGAACTGCCGATGCCAGAGTCAGAGATGACGCAGTGTGGAGCTGGAGGATCACAGCAGACCAGGCAGCATCAGAGGAGCAGGAAAGTTGACGTTTCTGGTCAGGATCCTTCTTCAGAAACCGACCCGAAACGTCAGCTTTCCTGCTCCTCTGCTGCTGCCTGGCCTGCTGTGTTCCTCTAGCTCCACACTCTGATATCCTGGTTGACATTGACTAGTTCTGTAAATCTGATGAAAAACCCTTGGGGTTGCTTGCTCAGTGGGGCTTGATTACACGTTCGATATTATTTTCTGATACATTCAAATAACCTCATAATCAATGTTGTGCAGTATTGATAACATTGTATTGGATTAATTACTGCTAATTGTTAGCAAGTTGTGATTCCACATGCAGCTGTTAGTTTGAAAGTGGCTGCATCAGGGTTGTAGACACATTATTATATAACTGGCAGTCAACACAGGGGAGATGAGAATTTCTTCATAATCTGGAAAGGGAATGAAAACTGAGTCACATGAAATTATTGAGCAGGAACTGCATTAGGAGCTTACATAAAAAAAAGGCAGAAGAATTTGAAATTACCTCTCAAGCCTGTTTCACCGTTCAGTACAGTCATGGCTGATGGTCAGTTCAACTCTGCTCCCTAACTCTTATTATCTTTGATACCTTTATAGTCTCCATTTATCTATTGCAGCCTCAAATGTACTCAATAAATTAACATCCATAATTGGTGTAGAGAATTAAAAACATTCACAACCCTTGATGAAGAAATGTCTTCTCCTCTCAGTGTCAGGTTTATCAAATTGATTCCTGGGATAGCTAGACTGATGTATGAGGAGAGATTGAATCAGTTAGGATTGTATTCAGTGGAGTTTATAAGAATAAGAGTGGCTGTCATAAAAACCTATAACATTGTAACAGGATTAGATAGTTAGATGAGGAAAGATGTTCCTGATGCTGGGGGGAGTCCAGAAACAGCTGTCATGGTTTAAGTATAAGGGGTAAACTTTTGAGGACTGAGATAAGGATATATTTCTTCACCCAGAGAGTGGTGAGCCTGTGGAATTCACTACCTCCGAAAGTGTTTGAGGCCAAAACACATGTTTTCAAGGAGGAAGTAGATATGTAGCTCTTGGGGCTAAAAGGTTCAAGGCAGGATGAGGGTATTCATCTGGATGATCAGCCGTGATAGAACATAGAACATAGAACAGTACAGCACAGTATAGGCCCTTCGGCCCATGACGTTGTGCCGAACTTTTACCCTAAACCTAAGGTCTATCTAACCTCGACCGCTACCTTATGCTATCATCCATATGCCTATCTAATAGCCGCTTAAATGCCCCTAATGAGGCCGACTCCATTACCCTCTCCGGCAATGCATTCCACGCCCCTACCACTCTCTGAGTAAAGAACCTACCTCTGACGTCTTCCCGATATCTACCGCCTTTCACTTTAAAACTATGTCCCCTTGTAAAAGCTACCTCCACCCTAGGAAAAAGTCTCTGGCTGTCTACTCTGTCTATACCTCTGATCATTTTGTACACCTCTATCAAGTCACCTCTCATCCTTCGTCGTTCTAAAGAGAAAAGCCCTAGCTCTCCCAACCTTTCCTCATAAGACCTTCCCTCCATTCCAGGCAACATCCTGGTAAATCTCCTCTGCACCTTTTCTAACGCTACTACATCTTTCCTGTAATGAGGTGACCAGAACTGGACACAATTCTCCTGATGTGGCCAAACCAGGCTTTTGTATAGTGATCATTTTGAATGGCAGACCAGGCTTGAGAGTCAAATGGTCTACTCCTGCTCCTATCTTCTACTTTTCCATTTCAAACTGAATAGTGAGCTTCTTATCCTCAGGTGATGCCCCTTAGCTTGAGAGTCCATGCCAGGTGAAAGCAGCCTTCATAGCCAATCTGTTCAGCCATCTCAAAAATTTTTATGTCTCAGTAAGAACACCTCTTATTCTTGCAGATTGCAGAATATATAGGCCCACTTAACTCATTTCTTTTTACATGATGGGTCTCTCATCTCAGGAATTAATCTAATGAATTTTCATTGTGTTGATTTTGAGGCAAATACATGCTTTCTTTGATAGAGACCAGATATGTTTTATTGGCATTGTATTCCAAGTGAGATCTCAGCAAAGCGGAGTAGAATTTCAGCAATACCTCCTTGGTCATGCTCTCCAACCCCTTTGCAATAAAGATCAATGTATTGTTTGACTCCCTGAATACCTGTTGTTATTGAATTTTGATCTCTCAAACATAGACTGGAACTGTTGTAATGTTAAGTGTTTGGATGGGCAGGAATCAGTTAAGTGTGTTCAAGAAAATTTTCAATTTCAATTTGTAGATGTACTGACTAGAGAAGGAGCAAAAGTCAACCTCCTGTTGGGAATTAAGGCAGGGCAAGTTACTGAGGTGTTAATGGGGTAGCACTTTGGAACCAGAGACCATAATTCTATTAGTCTTAAAATAGTTGCAGAAAAGGATAGGCCTGGTCTAAAGGTTCAAGTTCTAGATTGGGGCAGGGCCAATTTTGGTGGTATTAGACAGAAACTTTCAAAAGTTGATTGAGGGAGGCTGTTTGGTGGTAAAGGATGACTGGCAAGTGGGAGGCTTTCAAAAGTGAGATAACAAGAGTTCAGAGACAGCATGTTCCTGTTGGAGTGAAGAGCAAGGTTGGCAGGAGTTGGGAATACCAGATGATTCGAGATATTGATACTGTCATCAAGAAAAAGAAGGAAGCCTATATCACATATAGACAGCTAGGATCAAGTGAATCCCTGGAAGAGTATAGGGGTTATAGGAGTGCACTTAAGAGGGCAATCAGGAGGGCAAAATGGGGACATAGCTTTGGCAGATAAAGTTAAGGAGAATCTAAAGAGAGTCTACAAGAACATTAAGGGCAAAAGAGTAACTAGGGAGCCAATAAGGCCCCTTTAAAGATCAACGAGGTAGTCTATATGTGGAACCACACAACAAAGGTGAGATACTAAATGACTATTTTGCATCAGTGTTTATTATAGAAAAAGGTATGGAAGATAGGGAACTCAGGGAAATAAATAGTAAATGTCTTAAAAAGAGCCCACATTACAAAAGATGAGGTTCTGGAGGTCTTAAAATGTACAAAAACAGATAAATCTCCAGTGTGTGATCAGGTGTACGCCAGGAGATTGTGGGAAGCCAGGTAAGAAATTATGGGGCCCCTAGCAGAGATATTTATATCATTGACAGCCATGGATGAGGTGTTGGAAGACTGGAGGGAGGCTAATCTTGCACCATTATTTAAGAATAATTGCATGAAAAAGGCAGGGAACTATAGGCCAGTGAGCCTGACATATGTGATGGGGAAGTTGATGGAGTGGATCCTGAAGGACAGGATTTACATGCATTTGGAAATGCAAGGCCTGATTAGGGATAGTCAGCATGGCTTTGTGCATGGAAAATTATGTCTTACTAACTTGATTAAGTTTTTTTATGAAAATGTGTCCAAGAAGATAGATGAAGGCACAGTGGTAGATGTTGTCTACGTGGACTTTAGCAAGGCTTTCAACAAAGTTCTGCATAGTACACTGGTTAGTAAGGTTAGATCACATGGGTTCCAGAGAGAGCTAGCCAACTGGATACAAAATTGGCTTGACAGTAGGAGACAGAGGATGATGGTAGAGAGTTGTTGTTCGGACTAGAGGCCAGTCAACCTGGTGTACCGTAAAGATCAGTGCTGGGTCCACTGTTGTCTGTCATTTATATAAATGATTTGGGTGAGAATATAGAAGAAATGGTTAGTAAGTTTGTGAATGACCCCAAAGTTGGTGGTATAGTGGACAGTGGAGAAGGTTATCTAAGAATACAATGAGACCTTGATTATCGGCAACTGTACCAAAGAGTGGCTGATGGAATTTAATTTGGATAAATGTGGGCTGTTGCATTTTGGTAAAACAAACCAGGGCAGTAGTTATAAAGTTGTAGGGCTCTAGGGTATTGTTGTCAAACAGAGAGACCTAGGCAGTGCAGGTGTATAGTTCTTTGATAGTGGCATCACAGGTAGACAAGCTGATGAAGAAGGCATTTGACACACTTGCCTGCATTGGTCAGAGCATTGAGTATAGGAGTTGCGATGTAATGTTGCGACTGTACAAGACATTGGTAAGGCCACTTTTGGAGTACTGCCTACAGATCTGGTGTGTCACCACCACCCCCACACCACCTCCCGGCCCCACCACCCTCCACGTGTAATAGGAATGATGTTATTAAACTGGAAAGGGTGCAAAAAAGATTTACAAGGATGTTACCGAGACTGGAGGGTTTGAGTTATAAGGAGAGCTGAATAGGCTGGGACTTTTTTCACTGGAGCATAGCAGGCTGAGAGGTAATGATGTAGAGTTTTATAAAAGCATGAGAGGAATAGATAAGGTAAAGAGCCAAGATCTTTTCCCCAGGATAGGGGAATCCAAAACTAGAACGCAAAGGTTTAAGGTGAGAGGGGAAAGATTTAAAGGGGACCTGAGGGGCAACTTTTTCACACAGTGGGTAGCGTGTATGTGCAACGAACTGCCAGAGAAAGTGGTAGAGGCAAGTACAATAACAACATTTAGAAGACATTTGGACAGGT